AGCCCGTCCACTCCCCCTGCCGGAGCAGGAACACCCAGATGAGGTTACAAAGTAAGGCGTCCAAGCGGGTTTTGAATGTCTCCAGAGAAGGAGACTCCACAACCTCTCTGGGCAGCCTGGTCCAGGGCTCTGTCACCCTCACTGAGAAGAAGTTTGTGCTCAGATTTAAGTGGAACCTCCTGTGTTCCAGTTTGTGTCCGTAACCCCTTGTCTTATCGTTGTTTGTCACCGAGAAGAGCCTGGCTCCATCCTCGTGACACTCACCCTTTATATATTTATAAACATTAATGAGGTAATTAATTTCCTGTAGTCAGACAAGTAATACATCCAGATCATAGCCATGGTTGGGCACGGTTCAGCTGTGAATGGCCAGGCTCTAGATGCACTTTGAAGCCAAGATGTCTTGTGCTTGTATTTCCACATGCAGCTCTATGATGCTTTCCTTTCACTATTGAGGCATTAAGTAACCATGTCCATGAGACTGCTAGTGGCATTAAGACACTTGCAGGATCTATGAGGATGAAGGGTGAGATCAGGAACCACCAGAAGAGCTGGGTGCCTGCAGTGCCACAGAACTTCTTTATGCATACCTAGCTCAGATGTTAAAGGTAACAAGTAATTGTCTCTTGTGCAGCTGCAACATATTTAAAATGCTTGTAATTAAAGTATTTCCAGCTGAACTCCTACTTCCTTCTCCTCCTTTTTGCCTGAGAGGCTGTTGAGCTACTTCTTTCTTTGAATTCAGCCTCAAAAGCAAAGCACTTTGTGAAGGTGCTGAGGATGTTCCTTGGCAGGCACCACAGAGAGGGCAGTGTTTCACCCTAGTCTGAAAGAAAGCTTATTGTACGCTGTCTGCCTTGGTCAGCAAGGTCATTTTTATAACAGAGCTATACGGCTGCTGTCTTACCGGCTTCATCAACTCAGTATGGGCTATGTGATGAAAAAAGCTCTGTTGCTGGAAATTTGCTATGCTATTAAAACAGTCTTAAATTCATCATCCATCGCTCATCTGCAGGAAAAAGATGACCCACTCTTACATTCAGTGAGACCACCATGGTGCATGTGATCACAGATCTCTTCATAGCAGGCTCAGACATGACCACTATTGCTTTACGATGGTGTATCTGGAAGTACAAGGTTAGAGATGCACATATTTGCACTTACAGGTGTTGCTGTCCTTGCTTGTGGCAGGGTAATAGGCAAAATGCAGTCGACTCAGCTGCCCAGATCCTGCAGTGTCAGGTCTTGGGGGAATTTTGAGTTTTTGCATAGAGTTGACACATTCGCTGCCTTCTTGAACATTCATTATTAGTCCTGTCATTCTGCAGAACAAGTCCATGGAGAGTTGGATGCTGTCATTTGGTCCATCCTACGGAATTCAAAATAAGGACCGAGCAATCCTGCACTAATGCAGTTCCACATGAGATTGCTCTACATGCACAAATGTTACTTTTACCATTCTTCTACATAGAATTTCAGGAGTTAGATCAGTATAATTGTACCGCTATAACAACTCTTGTCTTCTCTTAAACTGATACAAGCTGCACGTAAACCCCACAGAAATTGTGGAGTAACAGTGTCTGTGTACACAAATTATAGTATCAGCAGAATGCTTTAAATCCTTTTGCAACCTCATGTAGGTGGTCTTCCCAATGGATAAGACCTATGTGGCTTTGAGGGAAGTTGTCTCCAAGAACATCAAAGTCTCGGATCAGTGTGAAGCCTTCAGTTCAGTGGTGTTTGGTTTTGTTTTGGTTTGGTTTTTTTTCAAAGTTTCTGATTACTGTAATTACTGCATCATCTGGTGCTCTAAGATCAATCTTTAAGAGTGCCTAATAATTTCTAAATAAGTTAATCTGTAGGAGACAGCACAGTGTGACCCTGTTTCTCACCCCATAATAATTAGTGGGCAATTTCAAGAGAGCAATTGATATCTTGGCAGTTCAAGTCATTAGTTCTTGACTCTGTGAAGATCCTTGTATGTTCATTTTGTTTTTCAGTATGACATCTTAATTTCCCCCAGCATATTTTCTGTCCTGTATGATCAAGAGCAGTGGGAGAGTCCTTGACAGTTTAACCCTGGTCATTTCCTGGACAAGGATGGAAACTCTGTGAACAGAGAAGCCTTTTTGCTGTTTTCTGCTGGTAAAAGCAATCCTCACTATTACACACAGCTGTCTTACAGTGACTTTCTTAACATCTGATATCCTGCCACAAGTATCTTTATTCATTCCCATAAAAAGGTCTAGGTAGAAAAAAACCCAAACCAAACAACAAAAAAACCCCACCAAAAAACCCGAGAGGTGGTGATTTTGGAGACCTGCTGCAAATTCACTTTCTTGAGAAAAAGAAGCTAAGAGTAGCTGGTGCCTGAAATTCTCCACAAAATGAACAGCAATTGTGGTAGTAAGGTAGATTATCCTGCAGGAAAACAAGAGCTGATTAAAGCTTCTTCAGAAGGCAGGGAATGCAAACATGTTTGCTAATTAAGAACTTGCTCCTGGAAGCTGTTAGGAAGCTTTTACTAATATTGGCACCAGCAGAGACTAAGAGGCCAGCAAAGGAAGCAGCACGTTAGGTTTAACTGTGATCAAGTCTCCAGAGCAATTTGTGTAACGTGTTCTTTCTGAAATATTTTTGTAAACTGCTCCTCTTCAGAGCACAAAGATCCCATTTATGTGTAACTGCAATCAACTAGGAAATTCTTAATGAGTTTTTAAACTATTTCTGTTAGTATTTATTTCTAAATCATTGTCTATGTCTTCTAAGATTATGAACACAGGTTAGAGCCCGTAAAACAACAGGATGGGAGTTCCAGTGGTAAGGATATTTAGCCTAGGGCTCAGAGACCCCTTTTTCATGTTCTGCCATGCTTCCATGATTTCAGGGATGTTGCTGAGAGACCTATTGCCTTTGCTTCCAAATAGTAAATCAGGAATACCAGCATCACATTACTGTGTTTTGCAAGGATAAATACACTCAGACACTACAGTAACAGAGGACATGTAGTACCTTACATATATGAATACCCTTTTCTTATATTTCTGACCTACAGGCTATGGATTTTCTCTCATTCTCTCCATATCACAAGTCAGTGGAGAAACAGAAATTACATCAGTCAGAAATCCACCTACTAATTCTGCCAGATAGCAGAAATTATGGGTCAGAAGTTTGCAAAACACCACAAGAAGATTCTCTGTTCACAGGGCAACCTGGGAATGGATTCATAAAGTGTGAGGAGGTGCTGGAGGATGGACTATCTCCCCTGCCCTCTCACACCAGGCGTTGCAGGATCTTCACTGGTACGGTACTTCTTTCCTCATCTCCCCCCTTCCCTGGCCCCTGTGTTGCTGAGAGGGCACGCTGGAGAAATAGAGACAGCAGCCATAGCAGTGAGCTGTACATTTCGACAGATCCGTTCACAGAATGGAGTGAAGGAGGCTGGTGACCGGCCTGATGTGGGGATCATCCCTCGGCCCTGCCTGTGCCATCCCTTGCTATACACTGAGGGAGAGAGGATGGGATGGGGATGGTGGCCAGGTTGTGGCTTACCTGTCACCTCAGGAGGTGAGTTGGACAGCCCCCTTCAAGAGTGACTGTTTGACTCCTAAAAGTCTATCTACCAGAGACAAATGAACACTATGAATAAAATGGCTGGGTACTTGACCCGGTCGGCGATGCTGAGGCTGCAGTCGTGTGAGGCAACCGGTCGAGTCCAGGTCTC